AGAATCTCCATGATTATCTTTATTCCATCGTTTCATTGTAACATAGATAAATGTAAAGTTTGACCTCACCCATAACTGCAGATCTTTTGCTGAATTAAATCAATAAAAATAATCTACCAGGATTTCTTTAGCACACTGGGGTTGCATATCCTGTGTATTAACTCTATGGGCTATACTGTCAACCTATATGGAACAATTACATGCTCCTTCACACCAAGGACTCCAAACACATAAAAAAAGAACTGCAACATTTTTTCTTCAGTTTCCTTATCATAGAAACAGAGGCAACAATGTTTAGCTGCTAGCGTCAGTTTACAAGTTTTATTATGCATTCTGAACACAAAAAATACTTTAGATATAAAAAGGTACAACATAAGAAGCATATTTAATTTGTTATAACTTAATAAAGGTTTGGCAAAACATTTTTAGGCTTAGCTATTTGCTACAAAGAGTTCTGATCAATTTTATTTTTGCCTCTACCCTGGTAAAGTATAAACATTTGATATTTGTTTTTCTTTTTATAAAAGAAATAAAGGATGGGTGAACCAAGAGAAAGTTTTATTTTCAAATAACGTTTTTCTCCCAGTTCCCTGCATTTTCTGTTCCCCCTCAGCGTGTTTCAGTCTGTGGGATAAACAGATAAAAGCTAAAATCCCCCATATGCACCTAATCCCCTGAACATCTAAGGCTAGAGCACAGGTTTAAAAAGGGAAAATGAAAAAAAAAATGTTTGATAAACAATTAGGCCAATATGGAGATTTAATCATATAGTTTGTTAATGAAAGCAAGAAAGCTTTCATTAGGCTACCTTTGCCATTCTACCCAGTAAGCAAGAACTGAAAAGCTTTTCTTGGCTGTCACCTTATCCCAAACCACAGCATGGTATTTTATAGACTAATACTGGCTTTTGAGTTGTGTTCATTTCCCACATAATACCCTACAGCCTCGGGCAAGGCCTTTCTGCCTCTTTCCCCGAATACGTCATCTTGAACATGAACTTATTCTATATGTTGCTATGGAAGCACCCTTTTACCTATCCATACATTGTCAAAAATGGGAGGATTGAACATTTTCCCCTGAAAGCTAGAAAATGGGGGTTTCATTGCAAAACAATCAGATTACGCCATCTAGTTCCTTTAGGCCTTTTTAACTCTGCTTCATTCATTTTGGATCCGCCTTTGTGCCCCGTTCTTAATTTGCATTACATCTACAAAGAAATGGTCTGCAGTGTAATCTCCTTATTAACTGGGGCTGGAGGTCGATTTACTTTTTTTTTTTAAGCAAATTTTGCAAAGCAGGCCCTCTTTGTTTTTGATTGTGAACTACAAAACAGATTACCAGGGAAGTCTTTACAGAGTTCACACATCTGTTAAGTAAAGAGAATTCACAATAAGCATTAAACTGATGGATGGCTCTGGTTTTAATGATTTCATTTACAATAGACGGAACATCTTTAGTCTTTGTCCATTCAGGCGCCCTTTAAACAAAAGAACCGCAGGATTTGTATCCAATTCAAATCCCCCCCAATCCTGATTTTTTAAATATTCTAATAAATGTATGAATCCTTAACATAAAATATTAATCAGAAAGGAAATATGGACTTTCTTTGAGAAATTTGGAATTAAACCATTTCATCACCAGAAGCAAATATATATATATATTAACAATGAGTCTCAGACTCTCATCAGACCTAGTTAAAAGATTTATTAAAATGTTGCTTCCCCATACTTAAAGTGGCTGAATTAGAATTCTGAAGAAGAAATTAATGCAAACCAGGCATTCTAAGGAGGGCTCTAAACAGCAGGGTAGATCATAAAATAATATGCTAAAATAGACATCTCCGCACATACAATTATGATTAAAGAAAGAATATTGATTTTTGCTAACTAAAATAAATCACGATTCTTTCTGGCGTTCATGGATGTAAATGGTTTAAGACAGTCTCTTCGCACTGACGGTTAAAATAAATTCTATGCAACATGAAAATCTGTCCAGTTGCCGGAAGGAAATGTAGATTTTAGATAACTAAAACTGAATGATTAGTTTAATTACAAACGTCGGCGTAAAAAAATCAATTATTTTTTAAGAGTATTTTAAGTGGTTTCTTTGTAATACTTTTTAAAACTTGGTTTGTGACGGAGCCGTTTCTATTCGCGTTATAAACTAGGAACTAGGTGAATGCTAGAACGCAAAACTTTCTTGAACAAGAATAGAGTGATGTTCCTTCCATTGTCCGATGGTAGTTTATGGATCAGTTGGTTGTGATACGACTGCACAGCCTAATTGAATATATTAATCTCAGTCTTTAATTTTCACTGTTCTAAGAGCAAAGAAAAATGTAGACAATCATTACCACTGAATGCCAAGAACTTGCATTTGAAGTATTACCTTTTACTCTGCAGTTCTCCATGTCACATCATACAAAATAACCAAAGGGCACTGCATAGATCAAGAGGCTATTGATTCAGCACCGAATCCTCATTTAGATAACCCACCAAGACCTATGCAATAAAATTAATTCAACTAGTGTGAAAAGCCGATCGGTGCATCTGTACTGTTTGGCACGGCATACACTTGGACTGCAATTAGACTTCAAATTTAAAGATCTACTCCACTTATTAACATATGTTCTATTTTTCCGTGTAAAAAAGTATCAATATGATCATTTTCACAAACGTGTTTCTTTCAGCAGATTATGCTCTGGGGATACATTTGCAGTTTCCCGTGGTATTGGACTTTTTTTTAATCTTCACAAACATGAAACATGGGAAAGGCTTAAGAAAGGCATGTTCACTGCCAATAAACAAGGTCAAAACCGCTAAGATAAAGTGATATGTAAAACTTTAGCATTTGTAGGAATTTTTGTTTAAAAAAAAGTGCAACTTTATAATGTCTTCGAAAACTATGGCAAACACGGTCTGATAGTAACTGGCTCATTTGAATTAAAGTTGTCTTTGGTGTAGGCCTTTTTTATTTTGTTCTTTTTGGTTGTTGGTTTAAATGTAATATATATTCAACGAAGATATACATAGATACAATTAATGAAAAAAATACATTTTATAAAGAAAACTAACGTGCCCTTAAAGTGTCTACTGGCGTCCACTGCGTTATCATGTTATCAAGTTATCATGAACTATCCCAGGTCCCAAGCCGACAGCCCAGGCAACGAACTTTTGATTAATAAATTTACTTTAAGATAAAATCACGCTGAATGCATTTTTTGATTTTCTAAGTGATCTTCCATTTAATGCTAGTCTATAAAGACATATATATATATAGTATATCAATACAAATATCGCTTTTTTTCTTTACGGGAAAGATCGGTCTTTATCAAATATAACCAATCTCCTTGAATATTCAACAGAATACGAGCGTTTTACTTGACTTTCCATATATCTTTAGTATGTACAGAGTAAGTCATAAACTCATTGCTTTATATATAAATGGATGATTAACGACAACCAATATTCCGGTAACACAGCGTCCCATAGTACATACCTTGTTAACACGTCCTTTGGGCCTGTACCCTTCTAGCAACCATGATGGAAAAGCATGTGAGGAATATCCAATACGTATTCAAACGGACTTCGGCTCAATAACACAATATGCATTATGCTTTTTTACAAATACATTATTTCCATTGTATGCAGGCTGATAAATGTAGGTTTGTTTTTAATAGAGCAAGCAGAGACCACTGGTATTGACGGTGACTATTAGCTGTATTACATCCTTGATATTCATTTAAAAGCCGTGTTCAAAGTTTGACATTTTTAACCTTTAGACACCCTGAAGTTGAATACTGAGCAAATTACCTTTTTCTCGCTTTACTGTTGTAGGAGGTAGAACTTCTATTTCATTTTGCTTGCTCCTCGAATGACATTCCAAAGATGTCTTATAAGGTTTATAATTGTTATATATATAGTAAATTATATTACGTTGTCTCTGGCTTGTGGTCGCCAGGAGTTACAACTAATGCTTTATAAATGTGATCAAAAGATATGTTGGTGTTAACATACTACTGCCACTGGACAGAAGAAAATATAAATGAAACACATATCTATAGACAAACAACCGGTGTCTAAATATCAAAGGTTATATAGGCCTACATATTTTGAGGACTAGAAGCAGTGATTGTTATCTTTGCAGTTGCTTCTCCATTAGCCACATGACAGAAAAACCGAAAGTAATAATTTGGTATTAACACTCACTGAAAATGATCGAGTCACTAGTTTAAAGAAAATATATCTGCATCCCGATGCAAAACGCCGAACGTTATCCATTATTTTCTCCTTTTCTCCTGTTAAACTTTGAAAATCATGTATTTCTATGCGATACCGACAATCATTTTTTTTTTGGTATAAATCAAACTGCACCATCTTTTTCTTTAATAAAATGAGAGTGTTGTTTCATGCATTTCTAGAAACACAACGTCGATTTCAAAATTGGTTGCTTTAAAAAATAACTTTTTGAATCGAGATGCTTTTTCTATGGGTACATGACTAAACTTACTCTATCGTTTTATTGTGTTTAAATAGGTATGAAAACTGCATGCGCAGTTCTCTTAGACATTTCTTAGTCTTTGTGATGCATGTGACGAAGTGCGCAGACTTATTGGAACTGCAAATACCAATTGTAGATGCATTAAAATAAAATAATTAATTGAACAGCCTTTGATCTGAATGCTTACAGAGTTAAAGTACAGGATGATGTGCCGTCCTACAAATGTGTAATTTATTCTCAAAATTGGTGAACCTTTGTCGTTTCCAAAGGATTATATGAATGAGTCCTGTGTTTGACGATTAACTTCCGAGATTTCATTGTTTCCATCAATCTGAGCATTTATTTGGAGGGTTGACAGTCATCATAACACTACAGACACTGAAATTGGTAATAGTTTTATTCTCATTACAAACGTAAGGTATTTAATGGGTAATATGTAATCTCCTAACACCTATCACGTTCAGGGATTTTAGTTAAAATATGTATATAAAAAGGCTTACTTGGAATTCGTAGTGTTCCAGTAGATGGATTCCAAAACCGCCGTACGGGACAAAACCACCTTGCAGGCAATGATCAAAACTCCAAAACAGTATTTCCAAGTCGAATCCCTCATTATTGCTTTCATGATCGATCACCCTTCCCACTCAGGACGTAAATGATTCTCTTCCGAATAAACTCCTATATTCCTAATCCTTAAAGAGTAGCGAATCCACCAAAGGATCTTTTCTGAATTAGTTCTAAAGTGAACGTGCACGTTTGCAAAGATGAAAATGATCATAAATATAGGACAGATCCTGTTCCAAAACGATGCCCTGAAGTCTCTTCCAGATCATGGGGTGTTAATCCTTTTTACAGATGCGGCCACCCTTAGAACAGGAGACTGAACTGCTGCAGATGTCCTTCAACAACAGAAAGATGTTATATATCCACGTTTTTGTCCAGTGTGCAAAGAAAAATTGACCTAGGTGCAAAGGTTTCCTGGAGCGCAGTAGATATTTGATCCCGTAGATATGTTTCTCCACAAAAAAATAAAAGCAGCTTTTAACAAAACCGCCTTTATTGGCTGGTAACATATGAAGATGGATAGCGTACCCTTGCGACACTGAGGGGGTGGGGAACAGCAGCTCTGTTGTGTGCTACCTCCAATCTTAGCTACAAGTAACTGAAAGTGAGAGTGGTTACTCGGTAGCAATTTCTATCTACGAACTCCGCCCACGTCGTCTCTCATTGGGTCGGTCTTTCTGCTCAGTGGAAAACACTTAAGTCAATCAAACCAAACACACAGCAATTGGTTTAAGCGCAAAGCACCTTAAAATGTAATGGGAAGAATAGAACCAAGACATTATATTACATACAGTACATTTCCCAATTAAGAGTCTTGAAAAGATAACAGATTATTGAATGCGAGTAATGAAATCTAAATGGGTAAAAATCTCAGTAAACTGTTACAATTATGATTGAAACAGGCCATTCAAATTTTTATAATTTCACTAACTATAATCCTAAAACTCGAAAACCTAATATTCCAGTTCAAGGATTTGGATTGATTCTATCAGGAAAAAAATAAGTTTGTCTATATTTCCACTGACAGCTTTCTTATTTGAAATAAGCGGAAGGAACAGTGTTATATTATTAAAGTGCTGAGATCTGGGATAATACATGTTTTTTTTTCCCTATGACTAAACATCAAGTCTTTAATGAAATGAGACTGATAGGAGAAAAGAGCGACTGGTCAAGTCGACGATATAGAATATACGAAACTTCATAAGAAGAAACAACGCTTTAAAACGTTATTCAAATACTTAACTAAATTTCACGTTTTTATTATTACTATTGTTAGGCTGTTTAGAAAACGTGTTCATTCGCTAGCTTACTTTCTGTGGTGTTTACATTGCAATGCATTGTGCACATTAAAAAAACACTTTAATACTTACAATATTAATAATATTTTGATCAATTTATTTCAATAATCGCACATGTTTTTCTCTAAATAGAATACTGTAGTTTTTTAACAAAAAAAAGTTTCACTGTAACAGTAGTCTTTAAAACCGTAAATAGTGCTCTTAGGAAGCTGTTCCAAGTTGTGAGCAAACATTTTTCATTAGACAACAGTGCCCACTAGCGTATTTATACGTGTAAATGAAAAGCAAAAGACTCGAGTTTAGAAAGCAAAAGGAGCAATTGTTTAACGCCTTACAGTTTTAAATTATTACCATTATTAAAAATGGAAGTAAAAGCATACACTCTCTAAAAACGATCCCATAACCCAAAGCAACCATAAGTGCGGGACCCGAATGCTACAAAAAGAGTTTTTATTTTATTTTAGAAATATGAAACCTTATGCTTTAAAATACGAAAATAGACCCAGTTTTCTAACTTGCATCAAGTAAAAACAGTTTTGTTAAAATAACTATACCATGTATAATTTCTTAAAATAGGGTTGTTTATATTTTTACACACTTTCACTGCTTCATAAAATCGGTCGATTCATACATTTTTTACGATGATTGGCATGTGCAAAGATACATTTAGAATTATGTTCTTTAAACGGGAAAAGTAAACAGAATTCGACCCACCATCCATAAATAATGAAATCATTGGATGCTTGTGAAGTATTGTGTATTGCATTTGAATAACACATTAAGCAGTTGGATAAGAACACATAATGGATGAGAAAGGAATGAGTGTTCAGGACGTCTTCCCGAATAAACAATAATTTGCCAACTTGTCTCGTTTTAGCCATTTATCACTCTTCAGTGATATCAGTCTTCTAATGTATTAAGTAAAATAAATGAAAAATAAAACCAATTCTAAAAACGTTCCAGTTTTTAACACAAATCTGAGACGCCGACAAACTTGTAGTATCGTACCTAAACGCTTTACGTAAAACCTAATTTGCCAGTTGTGACTAAAAAAAGAAAATGTGATGTAAGGACAGTTAAGATCTTTTTTTCAGGGAAACAAAAGGAAGTTCCTGAATAGTCCGAAAATATATCCAGGCTGTTTAAAATAAGACGATTGTGATCTGACACGATTCCCAGTTGCTTTTTTTCTTTCCAGTGACAGTTAAAGTCTCTACGACTGTGTGTGATAAATCTAGGTTACATAGTACATAGGGATTTTCGTTCTGTAAATTTTTCGTTCTGTAAATTTTACATTTTCATCGCTAAATTAGAATTAAGAAACTAGCTGAACTAGTTCAGAAATAGTTACAAAAAATGACATAAAACAAAATAGGTAGTTTTATTAAATGATTGTTTTCGGAAGACTTGAATCTGCTTGATTCTCGTATAGAACAAATAGGAAAGTGATTAAAAAACGTTTACCTTTTCTAATACATCATCTGTTATGTCGATCTACATGAGACTCAAATAAATACTTTTTAAATAAGAGTCACAAACTAAGCCCGTACTTTAAACCTCAAACGTTAATTATTATTAATTTTACTGCCCTCACTAATCAAAGAATAATTAAATTGTACGATAACACGATCTAAACTCAAAGATGTGGTGATAGGTGTAAACCAAATAGCAAGATAGGCTTCAAACAATACGTTACGTATGAGTTAATTTTATATATACTGTATATAAACCTGACTGACGTAATATGTCATGTGTTTCATTCGTGTTTGAAGCACTGTTCCAAATGTTTAAAGCACTATTCTAAGATTTTAAGGTTATCTGTGATAAGATTAAAAAATGCTTTTTCATTGCATAATTATAATCGCTATGTGATGCAAATTATACAAAATTTATTTCAGCTACTTTATTATTTATTATTGTCGTCCTTGTGTTTCTAAGAACAACAATAATAATATAATAATAATGTAAGATTTTTATTTTGATCATTTTTATTAACAATTCTGAGCTGGGGTAATCGGGAAAAGAGAACTACTGACTCAGAATCCATCCCTACAAGCAGAATAAATAATACATAAAATATATAATATACACAGTTCTGCAGAAATGTGTGCTCTGTACGCTTTACTTTATTTTGTAATTCATTATCTACCTCCGATAATTCGTTTGGCCGTGGCCCATAAGAAGCGGTGGAGTCCATGTTTAAAGAACACTGTATAAGTTTTCTTCTGTAGCTCTTTGTTTTACAGCTGTTTGATTGCATTCCTTTAAGGTAAGTTAGTCGGCTCCTTTCGCACCTGATCTTAAGTGAAGTTGTTTTGAACATTTATGAGCCAACCCCCTGATAGTCATCTGTATTTTGCTAGAAGAAAAAATGTTTTGTCCCATTTTTTTTCTTTTAGTAGAAATGTCAAAGATAAGAAACCAAGTTGTAAAAATGAAAAAAAGTTTACGTTAATTTCAGTGAAATCTATTGAAGAATTACTTAACCGAAGCAAGCCAAACTGTGACTTTCTAGATATTCACAATTAGTGTTTAATATAAAGTATTCAATAAAAACCACAATGAATCATGTAACTTAATAATATGTTTTACACGCGTTACATTTTAAGAAATTACATTGCAACTCTGTATGGTCAAAGCCTAATAATGTACTTATAAATCAGGATTTGAATGTAGTTAACATACTTCTGTAACTTGAGAATTACGGTTTAATTACTGTTTATTTACCATTTTTGCAGCTACAATTTTGTTTTGAGACAAAATATTACACATTAAAAAATGTCATGCATTTTTATATATTTTTAAATGTATCATGTGAGACGGAATAATAAAATTGTCACAAATCTACCAAATATAACAAAAATGCCCTGTTTCCAAACTATATAAATTACGAAGGCAATAACTTTGTATTCATCACAGTTCGCCTGTCAGTCTACAGACTGAAACAGGTGTACAAGAAACAGTTCGGGGAGAATTCTCGTAATTATGAGCCCTATACATAACGAATAACACTAGGGCGTGTGAAAATTCATAGGTAAAGAGAAAGAAAACAAGCTTGACAGGTGTGCAATACTACAAATATGATCATTTTGCAGTGAATGAAAATAACCTCCATGTTACAAAGAAAGACATTCTCTGAATTCTCTGAATTATTATTAAAAACATATAAAATAATTACAGCATACTGATTTTGGACAGATGGGCTTAATATTGATGTATTCAAGACTGTATTGCTATCTAGACCTTTTATAGAGTACTCTCAAAACTATTGCAGCTTCAGTTCCATTTTAATAGAAATGTCACGACCTCTAACTTCTCAAAGGGTAGAGTTATCAGATCCTCTCTAGCAACATTTAGAAAACGGGATTTTAGAAATAGGATTATAATAACAAACAACAACAATTCATTGTTTCGCGGACCTAGAGCCTAGAGCTTTACAATAGCACACATGTAATACAAACGTGTTATACCCAAACTTAGTGGTGAATCCAATTACATGGTTTCTTTCAAGAAATTGCTGAATGAGTTTATGACCTATTACAATCAAGCTGGCTGGATGGGCCAAATGGTGTCCTCTCGTTTGTAGTGGTGTTCTTCAAAATCTGTGTAAATATATTTTATTTGCCATCGAAATACTTCTGACACAAAATGTTTGTATTGATAAAATAGATGCTTATATATAATACATTCATTTAAAGTAATAGCAGTGTCTTTCAAAAACTATACCATAGAACATACCAACAGAGCGTTTTCCATATTTGTACACGTGCAGTGAGATTTATATAAATTTTGTAGCGCAGATCTCCATGGAATTTTCTACAGCCCTATTCTGCTGTCCAATAAATGAATCTTGTCTCCAAATTGACACATTTATTGTTAAAAAACATTCAAGCAAATTGATGAAAAATAACAAAGACAACTCCAATGCCTGTGAGAGACAATGCTGAATTTACCAACAGTCTTAAGGGCTTGAAAAATAGTTTTTTTTTTCCACAATTTATACATTTCACAAAACTACGCAAGTAGAAGTATGCAAATGTATAATGACATATTATGCATATTTTTAAGTCTTCATCTACTATATCAACTTATATTATGGTTTTAGGTAGTAACTGAACAGAATTGGTGATCACAATAAATAATTAATAAGACAACTATTCCCATCACCTACAACAGCTAATGTGTGAATTTTCCATTTTAAAAAGCACGATTTCTGAACCAGAAATCTTATTCTTTCATTACTCTACTAATGTACATTTGACATATTAAAAAAAAAAATACCTATCAGGAAGCATGTGCAAACAACCCCTCTATTAAAATGTACAATTTACTTCTTCAATTATAACACCAAGTGTAATACATTCATGTTCATGTGTTGGGGAGGTCATTTTTAAGAGGTCTAAAACATTTAAGACTTGAACACTGGTCAGAAATGAGTTTGTCAGACGTTCCTCTGACAATACATAGTTCACACAGAACTCATGGGATATGGAACAAGCTACCGAGTCACGTTGTCAAAGCTGCTACCCTGGCTTCTATCAAAAGCTTACAAGATCCTTGGATCAATTAGCTACTAAACAGGCAAATAGGCCAAAAGACAGACCATTACTCATTTCTAGCCTTTATGTTCTCCATCTGAGGAATCACTTCTGCAGGAGGAATTTCAGTGAACTAATTCAGGTTGCCACATGAAACAGGTGGATCACGCTTCAAGTAATGTTAATAATGGATACTTGTATGTTCTCTTTCATATTGAAGTATATGAATTTACAGGTATACTAGCACACCACAGAAACACTTAAAACACTACAGAAATACACTACTACTGATCCGTGAATCTTAAGCAGATTTTGAAGCAGAAGAATGCATTGTTATCCCCTTTCTTACTTGCACTGCAAAAACATAGAAGTTCAAGTGAGTAACTGTCAGCATGAGTAGGCTTCAAGGGAACAAGTAAAGGTTTATTCCATGCTGAAAAGAGAAGAAAACTTTCCTGTTGAGCCGGCTTCAGGTGTTTTTCTTCTCTTTGCAGCAGAGAATATGCCTTAACTTGTTCCCTTGTAAATACATTTTCTTTCAATTTATCCATTCTGTTTTTCTGGTAATCTGTTATACATTAGAAAATTAGCAAAGAACCACTTTGAACAAAACAGAAATGTGATGTACTGGGGAAAGAGCACACTTTGTAACTACAGGCTATTACACATTCCATGCTGTTGCATGTAACATCAATGATGGCAGTAGTACATGTTTCTGCTTTGGTAAAAAAAAACACGACAAAACAAAACAACTATGCTTTCAGAACTTTTATTTTGTGAACTGAACACACTTCCATACAGAGGAAAATTACCAAAGGTTTAATCAAATAAAAAAAAAATCCATCCTACCCTATTAATCCCACCCCCCTCCCCTCAACCCCCAACCCCCAACCCATCATGCAGTAAATCACTTCCTTACCTGTACCAGGACAGCTTTAGAACCAGTAGAATGCAAAAAGCATTCGATTTTAAGAATGTACTACATATAGAGTAATACATGGGGACACAGAGTCCACTCTTGGACATTAAAAAAGTGATTTCAGAGACAACTGCATTTATGTTTTACATGATTTTACGAAACATTACATCACACAGGGTCAATATTTAGATTACATGGGAAACTTTCTCAGGTCAAGCCATTCACAGACTTGATGTTTAAGTAGTTAATGGGTTTAATGTTCCACATTTAATCATGCCAAACAATGCAATTACTTTGCACATTATAAAATAAATTACATTGTGGTCTGCCCTGTCCTGTACTTCTGCTGGCTGCATTTAATGACCTACATTTTAAAATGTAACATTTGGATTATACTGCTTCATACCTCAATGCAGAGTAATGAAAATTCATAAGTCAGAATCCCCCAATACTACTATCAAAGCAGATAACAGAACCCAAATACACTTTTTAACACTTCATAAGCTTTGCCAAATTAATGTCATTGTACGAACCCCTCCTAGACTTAAACTAATGCCAGTTTTACCATGATTTGATAAATTGCTTGTAAAGATGTCACAAGGTGACAAGTGAAAGTTTCCTATGTTAAAAAAAAAAATTATGATGGCTGGATTATCAATTAAAAGATGCCTCATCTCCTTTCGAAAGATTGTTGAGCACAGCCCACATCGGTATAAGCCAACATTCCAGACTCTCCAGAAAACACTTCAACATGAAGCTACCATACAGTTAAAAGTACAAGTTGCAGTTCATTCTGTTGGTTTTAAAGAGAAGGACAGCTTGGGCCTTGACTTTCCCTTGCCCAAGATTAGTTTTTGCTCTTCTTTTTGCTGACGTTGTCTTTCTTGTTCTAATTTCATCCTCTCTTCATGAATTTTCCTTTGTTCTTCTACAATTTTCAGTTGCTCTTCAGCCTACAATACAAATCCAATATTTCAGTTAGTACACAGATAAGAATACATTTACTATATGACTGCATTCATAATTTTCAAGGAAGCAAATAATGATGCAGTGGAAGAAATATCCTAATGAAAAATACAATACAATTGCTTTAATACAAAACGGTGTAATTCCAGCAACCATATAAAGAGGACAATAAAGTATATAGTTATGATTTACAACACAAATGTGTAATAAGTCAATCTGTGCATGACTGCAGAATTGCTTTTGTCTGATTACGAGAGATTTTTGAAGTTCAAATAAACCACTTAAAAATCTCATAAGTCCAGCTTCATTCTGACATTAAAATTATTCTTTGTATTTTCCACACAATTAACCACTACTCCTGGATATGTTATTACTACAGAAAACATTAAAAAATAGAACAGATTTCATAAAGGACAGCAAAAATCAAACTAGAGAATATCTTACATCTTATCTGTACTGAATACAATATCCAAACATGAGATGCTCTTCTCAGCATGGTAAGAATATACAGTCTAAACATATAAAGCATTTAAACTAATTCCAATCTACCAACAATAACAAACATAATTTGGTTAAACATTGATTTTTTTAAAAAACTAATTCAATCACTGGGAATCCCATTTAAACATTATACAGAACTCTTTCAAGAAGAGTATTATAGGATATGTAGGATCAACAGGGAACTTGTACAAGATTTTAACAGTACACCTCTTATTAAATACTACTAATTTGCAAAGGAAAAAAAGGAACTTCTAATCTTGTTTACTCACACTGCACAAGCTTAATAATAAAACCGTTGCTTAAGAATAAACCCATTTACCCTTTCCAAATTCTCACACAGTATACTGTTGAACTTTATTATATAAACTAAATTTCCAACAATTATTCACTTACCAGTTTAGCTTGAGCATCAGCAATTTTACGGTTATTTTCTTCTAATATTTTCTCCAGTTCTTCTCGTTTTGCTCTTTCTTCCTCCTAAATGGGAGACATGGTGATATGTTAGACAACGCATGGGCTCTCTACGTTTCTGCTGAGCTATGCTCCCTCTCAGATCTTTTGTGCCTCACTCCTACAACAAAGGGTAGCCTGAGAGCCCCCAGTGTTTCTCACATAGTAACGTAAGCTAAAACATATAATTAAGAAAAAAATATCCCGGATAACTATGTTCACGACACCCTCCCAATCAACTCAACCACCAAAAGCTAAACCCTCCCTGATTCAATTTTAAGTTATTTAAAACAATTGTTTTACATTTCTACATGAAAACATCACAATCAACATTGACAACTATAAAATACTTTATATCAAATATTTCAACTGTATAAACATATCAGAAAAAAATGGAAAGAAAAAATTGAATAGTTTGGCTCACCAATTTAGGTATACCTACGCATTCTTTACCTATACTCCTTTTATCAGCATTAAAAGTTGCATATTTACTGTCTTGTCCAGTGTCCTGCAGAGAGAGAGAGTGCTCCTCGGCTGCCAAACGCGCCAGCTTCCTCTTTAAACTGATTTGTACTGTTAGCGTGGCAACACCTGCATCAGCAGCTCAGCCATTTACAAGAAACAACATACAAATGCAAGCTGAGCTGAGGACTGCAGATGCTTATGATAAGAAGGAACAAAAGTATGTAATTCATCATTCCTATGGCAAACAATTAATAAGAAAAATACAATGTACTGTTAGTTATACTTAAATCAATAAATAAAAATAAAGAATGAAAATACAAGATTAATCCAAACTAAGGAGACTGTTGGCCCCACAAATCATATACCGGAAAAAGGTAAAATAGTTGAGTTTTGAAGGGGTGAAAAGGGGGGATTGAACAGTTTTTCTGAAGAAAAAAACTTTGAAAGATGCTTTAAAAAACGTTTTTTTCCTAGGAGTATTTCATCCAGATTTGTTTTTGGAAAAACACAAGGCTGTATGGGGAAGTCATCCACACTAGAAAATTGCTACCATATTTAAGGTCTACCAATTTAGAAAATGTCTAATGGACAATGAAAAAGAAGAGATCAAAATTCCTGGTCTGTTTGGTAACAAGCTGTCATGCAGTATCAGTATCGACAAGACCAGAAGTAAGAAGGGGCCAAAAAGCATTACATAACTATGTTTAATGACATATCAGGACTACGCAATACAGTGAGTTTTACGAGAAAAAAAAAGTTTCTTTGTTCTGTTTTTCTAGCATATCCTTGCTCAAAGCTCCATGAAAAAATTCATTCATCACAAATACAAGGTGTTTCCTGCAGTCATTAAGTCATAAGCATCCTATATGATTTTTAAATATGATTTCCTGAAATCAGCCTGTTATTATACACAAGAGTCAAAACCTACAAACATAAGGTTAATCTACAATTGTAGCACATGAAACTTGACTTTTTTTAAAACAAAAGAAATATTGGTGTAAGTTTATTTTTTCAAAGCCAAGATCTGCTTGAGGAGAAAGTACAAAACAATTTTCGTGGGAATCATTTTTTTTAAACTCCCTTTATAGTTTAGACTCATTCTGATGAGTAAAGCATAAATTACAGTACTGTGGTGTTCTTTTCACAGAATTATTAATTATTTTTTTCCTACAGTGAAAGTAATGTTACACTTTACATTAGGCAGGAACAAAACAGATCATTAACATCTACTAAAAACATAAAATGATCAGAAGGTATTGAAAACTGATTCTTAAGATTTAAGATTAATTTTGACTACATTATTTGAAGTAGGAGAAGTACAGGGTAAAGACGTCTAAAGATCGTGTTACTGGTATTTATATTTTTCGTGTTTAGCAGGAAATTTCCAAATTCCTATTTAACCACTTGGCTCAGCTTCAGACTGGGGAAAGCCTTTTACTACACAATGGCGATTCAAGTGAAGGCAGGGCAAGCAGTTAGATAAAATTTCAAACACCTTGTATTACAAAAAAACAAAAGAATAAAAGGTGGGGAGAGGTTAAGAAATTAAAAGGATGATGTTGGTAACTTTTTCTGCAGCCATGGCAAAAGTTTCATATTTATTTTTTAAAGGGCCAGGATTTTACTTCTTCATTTCTTTAAAACATCCCTTCCAATTAACAGACCCCTGTTCTCAAAAAAGGGAATGTGGATTCCAACCACTAAAGTAGTGGTCAATTATCAACCTCGTGTGACAGTGCATGCTTGCTGTTGCCTCACCAAAGAACTCAGAAGAAGCAAGAGCACATGCTTACACCATCCACCACATACCTCCCTCGCCCCTGAAAGTTTTGCCATGGGCCCTTGCTTGCATTCCCAACGACCAAGCGTTACCTCTCTAGCCTTCTGTGCTGCGAGCTCAGCTTGCCGCTGTCGCTCCAGCTCCTCGAGCAACTGTTTCTCCATGATGCGTTTGGCCTCCTCCACCCTCCGGAGCACCTCACGCTCAATTTCATCTTTCCGCTTTTCCAGCTCCTCCTCCACCCGCTTGGCCACCATCTCTTCCACACGCCGCGCCGTCTCCTCTTCAATGAGCTTTTCTTCAATCTCCTGTTGTCGTCTGAGGTAAAAAACCAAAACATTTAAGAGAGATATAAACAGACTAGACTCCTGGAACTAGGATAAGACTCAGGCAAGTCTTTGCATTAATTTTAAAGCTCAACATTTGGTGAAGAAAACTAAAGTCACATATCTACTTTCACGTTTGCACACTCAGGAAAATTAAAATGTTTATGCAGTTTTTCCTTTGCTATACATCTTCATAACTCACAGCTCATAACTACTTCTCTGCTAGCTTCACAATGGGCATTCAGTACCTCATCTCAAGACTAAGATGCCAGCAGCCATATCATCCTGCAACTCACAACTGGCAACCCATTGAAGCTAAGCAGGTGTAAGCCTGGTCAGTACCTGGATGGGAGACCAACTAAGGTTGCTGCTGGAAGAGGTGTTAATGGGGCCAGCAGGGGGCGCTCACCCTGGGGTTCGGATCAGACGTAAAACCAAGGTCCTGACTCTCTGTGGTCATTAAAAATCCCAGGGCGTTTCTCAAAAAGAGTAGGGGTATAACCCCGGTGTCCTGGCCAAATTTCCCATTGGCCCTTACCAATCATGGCCTCCTAGTAATCCCAATCTATGAATTGGCTTCATTCCTCTCCTCCCCACTGACAGCTGATGGCTGCTGTCGCATCATCCAGGTGGATGCTGCACAGTGGTGGTGGAGGGGAGTCCCCATCACCTGTAAAGCGTTTCCAGAAAGTCCAGAGTGTCCAGAAAAGCACTATATAAGTGTAAGCAATTATTATTACTAAGGATATGTGTCCAACTGCAAATCTAAGTTAATATGTACAAAATGTATAACACAAAATAGATCATCTTAAACCCTGTAAGATGGTGTAGATCTTACAGGGTTTAAGATTTATAGCATAGCATAGCAGGATGCCCTTTATTTTGATGTGTTCTTTAATAGTTTTCTACAGTTCTAGCTCAAACTAAGTTACAGCAACAGAGTAATAAAACAGAAGGTTGTTTTATTCTTACATTATGTAATTTAATGTAAGACCATTATTGCACTAAAGCAATAATGATGAGCATTTTGTTTTTAATTAAAGTGGAACTGCAGTGCTCTCTCTACATTTTGGGGTTATAATGAGTTAGCATTGATGAGTGCATTTCAAACCACAATGAAATTACCAAGTAAACAGTAACTTGTACAACCTCCATCATAAAATACATGAAATTTCAATATGAGTAGTACGCAAAACACAACCCCCCTTCTCACCTTAAAATGTAAACTGCTTCGTATGCAACTACTTCTTACATATCAGGATTTATATATTCAATATTTTTATTTCATTTTATATAATACTTTAGGAAGTTGTGTCGGCCATTCAGAACAAAGTACCAAAACTTCTGGTAACGTGAAACAAGCCCTATTACACTGTAAACATGGGAATTTTGCTATGTTCATTTTAATTGAATTCTTCCTTGCATTTTTATACAAGTCCTTTGGGGCTTCCTGTCATATTCTCCATCTGTGCATACTGTAAGTTTGCTCCCATTTATTTTTGTGCTTATTACTGGCTTGAAAAGTGGTTTCTGCCCTTTCATCCTTTCAAAGTTTCCAAAAAACTCTTTTCTGTGTTTTCTCCTTGTTTCTGTGTATGTACCTTACCTGGGTAAGACCAGTCTGCGGTACACATTATATATATTACACTGTACAACAAACTAATATTACTGCATTGTTTCCTCTTTCCTTTTAAAGGGGTTTATATAAGCTATTTTACTATTTTTACATGTTTAATAACTACATTTTTTACTATCGCATAAATTATGAAAACAACAATAAAAATGAAAACTTCTGATTTTAAGTTATTTAATGCCTTTTCATTAAATCAAAATCTCTCAGAGCAGTTATGGAAGGGAGAGAAGGAGTTGTCATAATGCGCCACAATCCAATAAAAATTAAGTTTAAAGTAGTTTGACTGCTACCACAAATATTGCTACTTGCGACCAAAACAATACTGGATACAAGGTATGGCCCAGCTTTAGCGACATATGCAATAATCACAATACTATTAGCATATATGGACAATTGCAGAACACTGCTTGAGGCCAAACTGCTATTCAGCTTCACTTCCATCCCATCCCATGATCAAAACCCACTGAAGCTAAGCAGGTGTGAGCCTGGTCAGTAACTGGATGGGAGATCTCCTGGGAAAAACTAAGGTTGCTGCAGGAAGAGGTGTTAATGGGGCCAGCAGGGGGCGCTCACCCTGCAGTCTGTGGGTCTTAATACCCCAGTATAGCGACGGGGACACTATACTGTAAACAGGCGCCGTCCTTCGGATGAGACGTAAAACCGATGTCCTGACTCTCTGGTCATTAACAATCCCAGGCTGTTTCCCGAAAAGAGTAAGGGTGTAATAATGGTAAGGGCCTCCTAATAATGGGATTATAAGGAGGCCCTTACCAATCATGGCCTCCTAATAATCCCATCTATGAATTGGCTTCATTACTCTGCTCTCCTCCCCACTGATAGCTGATGTGTGGTGAGCGTTCTGGCACACTATGGCTGCCAAGGCATCATCCAGGTGGATGCTGCACATTGGTGGTGGTAGAGGGGAGTCCCCATTACCTGTAAAGCGCTTTGACTGGAGTGTCCAGAAAAGCGCTATATAAGTGTAAGCAATTATAAATTATTAATTATACACACATATGTTCCCCGTTTATATAATTTCCTGAATGCTGAAACTCAAAGTTTGTTTTAATGTAAAATTTGACTAGCTGGACAAGACAGTAGCAGAATAGAAATTAGGAGATTATTAGGATATGTACCTTTAAAATACGTAAAACCTACATTTCATTTTAACATATCACAATATCTCAAACACCTTTAAACTGTGACATGAACTTTAATGCAGGAATGCATAAAAAACACGTAAAAATGAAAGGATATTGTTTTGACCAACGTAAATTAGTAAACATTCTGCAAGCACTTTAAATATCGATATGTTATGGGCGTTTTAAGTTTCTATAAGATCACAACACACATTTGTGTTATTTTTGTACACTTACAACCAGTGTACAATCTGTGCCACAGATTTCTCATTTCATTGTTTTGAGTGTCCAAAACATGTCTAAAACCTCAGACCCTAAACTGCTGACCACTTCGATTATGTAATTATGCAGCAGAACCTGTTTTTTTTTCCAAATAGAAAAGTGGCTTCATTTGCCCTATGGACAAATAAGCATAATATTATTTTCCAATAAAGACGGCAGCATAGAATATTTTCCCTTTATATCTTTTGTTTTTCTGTTGTTGTTCCTTAATATTTATTTATCTTTTTAAGAGAAATCCACTGTAGCAATATTAATCACGTGTATCTCACATTTTAGTCCTCACCGAGGCGTACTTTAAACGAAATTCTGAGGTACAAATAAGTAACACAGCTTGATCAGACTATAACGAATTTAACAATTTAAAATCCGTTACCTTTTCTTATTCTGTATATAAACGCATATACGGGAATACCATTTCATTTTTTATTTTCACTCTGCCTTTTCTGGTGAGGGTCGTGGTTACAGCAAGCCGAGTAGATCACCCAGACTTCCTGACCCGAGCAACAGATTCCAGCTCCTCATACTATTAAAAATGATGGACCACCAATTTACATTTTATTTAGAACTAATATACAAGGTTTTTCTTGCGACCAATCTGCTATTTTAAAAGAAACCGTATCCAACCACAGCGTAATAGCGACAAGTACCTCACGAAAAACCGGGTTTGTCGATACATCCCGCCTCGGGGCCGTGCAAAATAACCAGTATTTAAACTTGAAATTAATGCCCTTGATACAAGCGAACCTATTTCCACATCTCTTTCCTTATCTTAAATTTTAACAAATCATAAAAAAATAAGCCCAACACATCTAGACTGTCAGATTCGATAAAAATACACCCCAACAGACTTAATCAACGTTAAAATTAGATGACAATTTTGTAAAGTTAAAGGCATTGCATGAACAATAACATAAACAGCAACAGTTCCTACAGCCTCTCTGGGTTTCGCAGCTAAGGTCAGCGTCAGGCAATCTTGCCATTGCTCGCACCGCACGGGTTACAAAGTGCCTACTCACATTTTCCTCTGTCTCTCCAGTTCGGCCTTTTTCTCTTCCTCCTCCTTCTTTTGCTTCTCGTCGAGGTTGCTTCTCTTGCTCACTGTCCGCCCGAAGATGTCGATCCTGTCGGAGGGGGAGGCAGCCCGGTCTCGCTCCCGCTCCCTTTCTCTACGGGTCGCGGCTGTAGCGGAGCGGGAACGTGACCGCGACTCTCTCCGCCGGCTTCTCTTCGCTTCCCGGGACTTCGATCGCTTCTTAGACCTCTCCTTGTCTCTGGACCGAGATCTGGACCGGCTCCGCTTCTTGTTGTGCTTGCTGCTCTTGGAGTGCTTAGAGCGGGACGAGCTGCGACTGCGAGAACGACCCATAATCGCCACCTCAAACTACGACCTTAATAATCAATTCCTTATTTTAAACTCTTTATTCGGCGAATTCGACCTTTACCAGAATTACCTCCAAATTCTTTCAACCAAAATCACGTCCGATTTCCTTGTAAACTTTATTATTATATCAATACGATAAACCCGGCCAGCCAGCAAAATGGCGGCTGTCTCCGTTCTCCCAGGATGCATCTCTCTCGTACTTTTTCGGAAGCACTCGGGTAGCCGCCGAAATGACAAGAACACGGTTGCAAGATGGATTCTGCGATTATTCAAAATGTGTATATATATATGAAAAGCAAACTCTCGATATAACTGTCTTAACTCTGTAAAGTGAAAAAATGTCAGTTTTACTAAAGGTTTTGGAAACTTTTCAAAAATGTATCTGAATGTTTATCTTTGCATAGACAGAGAAAATACTTATTTTTTAGAGCCTGTATCGTAAATCAAAACTTTTTAAGTTCTAGCTGCTGAAACTGAGCAAAGTTCTTGCTTTAAGCATATTTTGTTTGCAGATTAAAAATATTTCCATTAAATTATTCTAATAAATGATGACAATGATTCAAATACCACTTCTAAGGGTTTGGTTAAAGTAGACTTAGGTCTTTAGAGGTAAATAGATTGGTGAGAGAGGGACATAGAAAGATCTTATAAATTGTTCTACTCTGATGTGATCAACTTCCTATCAGAAATGCAAAGAGCACTCCTAATTTCCTCTAATCGTATTACGAATGAATGAAGATCCATCAGAAAAACACAGATATGAGTTACAATGACATTTACTATTATTAATAACGGAGGATGCTTTTGGAACATTTAATTGTATTATTGTATGTATATTGTATTTTTAAATACTTTTTCTATAAACAAACATACTTGTGTTAAAATGCTCAGAATATATAAAACTATCACAAAAAGACCATCTTTTATCAGAAATCATTTTATCCTGGTGAGAGACTTGGAAAGACAAAAATGCACACATAAATATGAGAAGAACATGTAGAGTAGAGTACATTGATAGGCACTGGTGCTAACTACCATGCTATAGTGCCACATATACTATAAAATATATTAACTAACTATAGTCTTCTGTATATAAAATATAAATAAGCAATATGATTATTAATATACACGGTGGTGAAATGATGAGCATAGCTGCCTCACAACATTCGGGCCGTGGATTCAATTCTGGACCTGGAATGCTACATGCATGAAGTTTGTATGTTCTCCTTATGTCAGAGCTCTCCTCTCAGGCCAGAAACATACTGGTAGGTTAATTGGGTTCTGTGAAAAGTTACCCTGTTGTGAGTGTATGCTTGCCAGCTCTAGGGCTCTGCATTTAATTCATATATAAACAAGTTCTTTCCTCAGTAGAAAATGTCACATACTTCAGAAGTATCCTGTTCAGTCTGTAGAAATTAAAGTTCCATCCTGGAAAAATAAATTTGTAGTAAATTAAAAAATAGATAACTAATATAACCAAAATGAAAATAAACTTCTTTACACTTTCCTCTGTAATATTCCAAATTTTGGAATATCAATAGCTACAGTGCCTTGCTTTACATTTAGCTTTGATGCCATTTGAGATTGATAAGTGGAAATACAGGCTTATTAGTTTACTGGTGAAACAGTCAAATTAGTTTAAGGTTTCTTTAGAGTCTATCGAGCATGGGTAGTACTCATGAGAAAATGCATGCAGGAAAAGAGACTCATATATCAGTGTAAAAATATCTGTTGTCACTGCCTGACTGCACAGATTTTAAACAATGACCACTTCCTGATGGCTAGGTCAGAACATGTGTGAAAATCTCAAAAAGGGGCTTGCCATTATTTTCTCTACACAGGAAAGATACTCCAAACCCTTTGCCTTCTACAGAGCTGCAGATATTTCTGTTTTTTCTTTGCTTTGAAGAAAACTCATAATATACTTTTGGCATAAGTCTATTGTAATCTGTCTCAGTCCTTATGAACTCAACATTTAAGGCAAGAACCTTCTTGGAAGTGGCTTTGTTTTAAACAGCATTGGGTTTAAATGGTGAGCCTACACACAGAAGAATTCAGTAGATTAAGACATCTTAATCTGGGAGAGACCATGCTCTCTACATTGTGGTTCTCTGTGCTTAACACCTCTAGGCTTCCCAGACTCACAATAAGGAAAGGAACCTACTCTATGTCAAGTTTGAAAATATTATCATTTTATGTTTTGGTCAGTCCATATAGTCCATTCAGTATTTTACATTGTATTTGTCAAGGTTAGGTGATTTAAAGACAGCAAGGGAACAAAGGCAGGACAGCTGCAACTCGGCATATTCCACCAGGAATAAAAATGTCATTTTAAGAGAATTGCAATTTCTTGCACCAGTACAAATTCCTGCATGCTTTTGGGATTTCCTCAGAATCTTGGTGTTCTTTTAGATGAAGCTCCTAAATCATTAATTTTGATCATGCATGGAAATTTAGATGTTTACTTTGCAGAATGCAATGCTTTCCATAAAATGTTTCAGTTTGTAACGTGTTGCATTAGGTTTATCTGACAATATTTTATTCCTCACTTAAAGTAACTTCTTTTTTATTTGCAGGAGGTACCTGTGTACCTTAGTTACATGTCATATTATTGTATTATGGACTGAATGGTCCCATTAGTAAATTAAAAAGGCAAAAGGCTTACCTGGATGCATAAATAAAAATAATAAATAGGAATGTTTTGTCACTTATTTTATCCATCTTTTATTTTGTATTTATAGTCCAAAATACACTTGCATTTTTGATCCCGACAGATTTCTTACTCTTTTATTTCCACTTCTAATTAGATGTGTGCTTTTCCCCATTTCTACAAACATAAGAAATGCCTTGTTTTATTTTTAAGCATCAGCAAGGATGCTAAGTAATCTTAAGAAGAACACAGGCCAGAAAACTGCAAAATTCAGTTAATCAACTTAGCCTCCCTACAGGTATTAAGAGTCATGACAATAAACTCAAAAGCACCCTTTGATTGATTCACTGATTGAACAACCAAATGATTGATTTACAATATCCATCACTTAACCTGACACCTCTAATTCAAATTCAAATTCAAAGTGCTTTACTGGCATGACCAATGAATTACAGGTTTTCAAAACAGATTCAATTAACACAACAATTATAGACATTTATAGTAAACACGTATTATCGAATATTTGCATACAGTACATAACACATTATTACAAGGCACACTCACTCTCTGTTTCTTAAAATGTCACAGGAGATTATAGGAAATTGCTACCAAATTTCCTTACCCCTCCCCCAGTAGCATAGGAAGATCTTTTGACTCTGGCATGTGTGGGAGTTCAGGGATTAGGTTTGTTACTGTAGGGAAGAATTTCTAATCCCTGAGTATTTCTCAAATGCAACAGAAAGTGTATATCTGTCTCTGCTTCTCCCTGCTGGCAATGGGAACATAGCCTGTTCTCACTGGGCACTTAGGTCAGCCTGTGTCATCCAGTTTCTATTTTAAAAATGTTTATTTCATGAGGGTGTCTTTCTGTTTGCTGTTTTTTACCCTCATGAGATACTCAGGTAGTGTGTATTGTCTTTTTAGGGTCCTGTAGCATTCCAGTATCTGCTGTGTGTATGTGTCTCAGTGGCAGTGTTGTTTGGCTTGTGCTTTGATTTGGTTGACTTTGATTTGTGTTTACTTACTGGCTGAGAGGGCTCTTCTCTGGGCTTCCCTATTGGATCAGCAAGGCCTTGTGGTGGTAGATTTCTGGTCACTGCTTTTTATGTGTAAGTAATATTTTAGTGTTCTCTTCTGTACATGTATTATTGGAGGTATTGGCCATATTTAGCTCGCTACACATTGTTTTGGTGTTTTTACAGAGTTCTGTAAAACTCCATGTGCAGAGATTCTATAATAATAAATAATATCTTGAATTAATTATAAAGCACCTTTTTAAACCCAAGGACATTGTACATAATGATAACATACATGACATACTGTAAGATAATCAGACATAGGTCCTAGTAAAAAGGTGAGTTTTAAGTTTAGATTTATAGACAGTGAAATAATCTGCTTATTCAGTTCTTATGGTCACAACAATTTCAGAGTAGCAGTGAAGAAACCCTTTGTTCTGACATGCACTCGTTATTTTTCTATATAAACCAAGTTTATTATCTGACATAAAGAACAGACAGAGACAGAATTTTGGATGTATTGTTGTGAGACTGGACTGCTGTATGTTGGAGTGCAGAGTGGCACTTATCTGTGATACTTATTAATTTATCTTACTGTTTCTCCAATGAACATTTCCCCCCCAAAAAAATGTTGCCTAAAATAGCTATTGTAAATTCTTACTCCTTTTTTGTGTAGTATAAATGACATTTTGAGGAAAATTTGAGGGACACATGTTATTTTTGATTAAACTGACTTGTTTTACCTGGCATAGAATATAGCTTAAAACCATTAGAAGTCATGCTAATATGCTATAACTGTTATGCCGCAGCTGTACATGGGGCACAGCTGTGGGTGTTATTGGCAGAATCCAAGCACAAGTGACCAGAATGTGGCAGAGATGTCAAAAGAGAGCCAACTGGTTGGGCATCAAGCACTCTGGGATTTTGCCAGAGTGCAATAAAATAAAGATATTAAAAAAAAAAAACAGAATTGGCATTATGTAATATGAATTTAAATCTGCTGGGTTGATTAGATTGATGCTATTTTTTAAAAATGAATTACATCTCTACTTCAAGCGAATTGGTGTGCAGTTCATTTTAATGTCATTTTTATGTTATTTTGATCCAAACAAACATTTTCCCTTTTCTCTTACCCACACAAAGTAAAAGGGACTGAAAAATATTATTTTTAAACAGTGAAGCAAAATATCAGTGTGAGAGACAATATGTGTATTAAAGTAAGTAGAGTATTTACTGCTGGACACATGACATAAATATCTATGTATGGACCCTTACAGGCGATCCTTTCATATATGACGAAGATGTGCAGGGAAACAACCCCACCCCCCGTTATTGTTTAGGCCTATTCACATTGTTTACACTACTGCTGTTGCCTCTGCTGGGATTCTGTTGTAAGAGAAAATCCACTGTCATACACACTGTCTCCACTGTCAAGATGTTGTTATCATTATTGGAGGGGCTCCAGGCAGAGCTTTGAAAGAAAACAATAGCCATTAAATTTAGAAACTGCTGGGAAAAAGAATA